AGCTTGTGCCTATGACTTACAGCAAGGCTACTGCAACATTTTAGTATATTTCTGCACGGAAAACAGACCGTGGTAAGTATATTTTGCAAGTACTTTTTTTATGTTAAATGTACTTTTAAAATTGTTACATTAATTCACCTTGGCAGGCAGTCATATACTTATGTGTTTAAAAATCGTAATATTTTCTGTTAGTGTAATTCTATACATTTAAAGAACAGCCTGTTTCTGTATTTTATGTATTTTTGTTCGCTGTATACTTTTTCATTTAAATGTCTGAGCAAAAGTAAGCTAAAGTGTTGTCAGCCATTTTGTATCTATGTCAACTGTAAACAAACTGAAGATATTGAAAGCATTTAAGTGTTATGTTATATTGAACTCAAGATAATTATATGGTTATTAATTAAAGCCAGTATAATTATATTAAGTATTACCATAAAGTACATAATTATTTTACTGATAAAGGAAAGTTAATATTTTTCTGAGGTGTTCGTGGTAACTGATGTCATGATGACGACGATGATGTCGATGATCTGATGATGACGACGATGATGTCGGTGATGTTGATGATGGTGTTCGATGATGAAAAAAAGCAATGTCGAAATAAATTTTCGGGAGGTTTCAACCTACACCACATTTACTGTTTTAGGCTATTTACTATTAATGATTGAAAATAAAAGTTTTTGGAAAAGTAAATGTTTAAACATCTTTTGATCATTTTTTTTTATCATTGTAAATAACATTTTTTTTTTGTTACGATCATTTGAGAGGGTGTGTGTGTGTGTGTGTGTGTGTGATTGCGTGATTTATTTGTTAATTGTCTTTTACTTTATTTCTATTTTTTTTTTGTGTAAATAAATTCTTGTTTTCTTTGAAGGTGCAATATGGGTGCAATATTTATTTCCTATGTTTACCAGTAAAAATATTATAAGAGTTTTATGATTTGCATTATTAATCCAAAGTATTGAAACTTCAGTTGTTATTAGCAGTATAGAAATGGAAAGAAAGTGGGAGAAGGTGGAAACCATGATCACGAAGTGTGAATTTTAGGTACTTACTCAGGCATGTCGTTTCGTTCAAGGAACGTAGGCCATTGACTACAATCCTCCAACGAACTCCATTCTGGGTTGCTCTTTCTTCACCCTGCCATGTCATATCCTGTGCTTCTGACGAGTCAGGTGTTTTATCGGACGTCCTCTCTTTCTTTTGCCTTGTGAAATCCAAATCAGGGCCTGGCGTGTGATGCTTGAAGGTGACCTCCTTAACGTGTGTCCAATCCAGCACCACTTCCTCTGTCTTATTTGTACGTCCATTGGTTCCTGTCCTGTTCTCTTCCATAGTTCTTCGTTGGAGCTCCTTTCAGGCCATCAGATGTTGAAGATGCGCCTGAGAGAGTAAAGTAATGTAAATTGTCTGGATCTTTGGCACGGTTGCTTTGGTCAACCTCCACGTCTCTGCACCACAATAGGACGGAGTTTACATAAGAGTCGAGGATCCACAGCTTGGTGATAATGCGGATGTTCTTTGAGGCCCACATGTTCTTTAACATGTTAAATGCAGTTCTTGCCTTGCCAATTCTTGATTTGATGACGCATTCTGTGCCACCCTGTCTGTCCAACACACTCCCCTGGTAGATGATGAACTCAACTTCTTTGATGGGCTCACCACCAACTGTGACTGCTGTTTGGACAATGGTGTTTATCTACATGAATTATGTTTTCTTCAATTTGATTTGAGTTCCGTTCCTGCCGATGTTGTTGCAAGGCGAGTTGTTTTATCCTGCATCTGACTTTGGTTGTGTAAAAGGAGAGTCATGCAGGGCATCTGCAAAATCAAGATCGTCGAGTTGCGTAAGGAGGCCACTGCATATCATTGTTCCTGTTTGATGTGGTAGTCCTCATGATCCAATCAATGACCAAGAGAAAAAGGAATGGTGACAGAAAGCATCATTATAGAACTCCTGTTTGACCTCGAAACTCTCAGACATCTGTCCAGCATGGTCAACCTGCATATCATGCCTTGGTAGGTGTTTCGAATCAGTAAGACGAGCTACTTTGGTACTCCATAATGCCTCAATATCTTCTACAATATCACTCGGTCCATGCTGTCAAATGCTTTCTCATAGTCGATGAAATTGAAGGAGACTTCCACTCAAGTGATTGTTCTATGATGATACGCAAACTGGCTATCAGCATATGATATGTTGGCTCTAAAACCAACCAGCTTGTCATGGAGCTTTGGGTCTACTATCTCTTTCATTCTCTCGAGAAGTACTGCAGTATTCTGTAAGTGTTGAAGACCTGAAGACCTTGCCAGGCACTGACAGGAGCAGAATTCCTCCGTGGATACTGCAGACTCTTAGATTTCTCTTCTTTGACAACATAATAGGGATGCCTTCTTTTCATTCCTCCAAAATGTTCTCTTCCTCCTAGATCTTCTTGAAGAGGTTGTATAAAATGCTAACGTAACGGCTGTCGCTTTATCAACTTTGATGGCTTCTGCTGGTACCGGTATCTCATCAGGCCCTGCAGCTTTTCCATTCTTAAGTTTGTTATTGTACCCCTGATCTCTGTCTTTGTTGGGGCTTGTCGCAGTTGATCAGGAGGACTGTATCGGCTAGTTGTATGTCCTGAGGTGTTTCTAGTGTTGGTCTACCATGCAGGTATTTAATAGCTCTAGAGTGTTCTACCCACCTTTTCAACTGTTCCTCTGTTGTTGTTAGAGCTTTCCCGTTCTTGTCCTTCACTGGCTTGTCTGTCTGCTGGAACTTGCTGGAGATTTTCTTTGTGACTATAGTTCTCTCAAATTTCTTGTCCCACTGCTTCTTCAGCTTGTTTTGACAAGTTTTTGATGTGATCCCGTTTATCTTACCTGATGCTTTTCTTAACTTTTTTTGGGGGGGGGGCTGTGTAGCCCTCTTGAGCTTTTGACTTTGCTGTTCTGTCCTGCTTGTATTCAGCGCTGCTTTTTTCTTTCCTCTTATCCAGTTTCATCAAGATATCAACAGAGATCCACTCTTTTCTTCTTCCTCACATGTGTCTTGCTACGTTTTCTTGATGTGTCGCCATTGGGTCTCAATGCTAGTATCACTGTTTTCTAGCTGGTCTTGTATACTAGTAACTAGAAAATGTTTGACAAGCTGAGGTGGAATGCTGTCTTTACTTCCATTGTTTTGAGGACACTCACGTTTATTTTGTCCTCTCGTTCATAATGTTGTGTAACTTCTTCAGGCGAAGTCTTAAAACCGTTATCAGGAAATGGTGCTCTGATGAAATGGTTGCTCCTCTCATCACCCTGGCATTTTTCCATACTCATCGAAATTTCTTATTGATGCAAATATGATCAATCTGGTTCTCTGTAACATGGCCAGGGGATCTATTTGTGGCCTTGTGGATCCGTTTTTGAGGAAAGATGCTTCCGCCTATTACAAGCTGGTTACAATCAGAAACCCAAGCATCTTTTCGATGTCAACTTAAGAGTACTTGTGTGTGCAATCAAAATGTTTTTTAACAAAATAATTTAATTTTGCAAATGGCCAATGACAAGATAAGTACATGTATATTTACGAGTTCCAGTTTTAGTGCAAAAACAGCCGTCAATGATATCAAAAAGCCCAGACTTTACTACAATTCCCAGAGGAGTAAATACGTTCAAGTTTTTTGAACAGGTTCATTCCAAAGTAACTTTAAGCCTTACTTGAAAAAATACTTGCTTGGAAGATGCATCTAAGTACTGAGTATGAAAACTATCTGACCTGCTTTGGATGCTGGATCTGAACTACAATTTTCTGATGAGTGATCAGATTAAAATTTTAAAGTAGATTTATTCCTTAGTAACTATAAGCCTACTTGGACCAAAATTGCATTGATGGTGCATATACACTACCAGATGAACACTAACAGACTTGCTTCAGATGCTGGATATGACCTACAATTTCCAGACGAGTGACCATGTTAAAACTTTTGGAATAGGTCATTTCCCAAAAAATTGTAAGCTCTACCTAAACCAAACTTGTATGGATAATGCCTATAGGGGTGTAGCAAACCTACTTCGGATCATTGATCTGGCCTATTCAATCCATTGCAATATACTGTTTTCCCACTACGATAAATGAAACGAGTGCGTCCACATTTCCCGCTCCTGAGGCCTTGCAAAGACAACCCCGCAATTGACAGTTGAAGGAGGACAGAAACGAGGAAGACAGAAAAAGATGTGGGACGAATATATATCAGAATTGTCCAAATTAAATGCATTTCTTACATATTCCAAGGAAATGCCTTGATCTCGTATTGTGGACCTTACATAAAAGAAGCGGACAAAGCCAGATGGATATAAGGTGTGAACGCGCCCCAACGACAACTACGGAAATCAAGGGATAGAGAAAGGGTTAAGATGAAGTGGTGCATTTTCAAAAGTAACCATGTAAAAATATGAAGTAGATACAAGTCAACATATAGCTGAAAGAAAAAGATACACTAAGTTTGAGAATATTTATTTTATTTTAATTCATATTTCAGAAAACGGTGGAAAATTGCACGAGTTTTACACAAAAAAGAGCAATATAATGCACTTTGGAAAGATAGAATATGGCATATTTATTTTATAGAATGCAGGTATTTTTATTGTATTATTCAGATGTCAATTTTGATCACATTGTAATTTTTACATCGCTGTACAAAGCCTCCCCAAAGTTTCCAGTATATGTACTTGGGTCAGACGTTCTATCCAACCTCTCTATCTTTTTGAAGTACTGTCTTTTTAATCTGGAATGTACAAGTATTCCAGAATTGTAACCGTTTTGTTTTATGGATATCTGAAATATAAACCATTATATTAATATACATTGTTTAACGAATGCAAAAAATTACGGCATTCTAAGGGTAAAAAGTGTTACACACTAATGCATATTGCATCCAGCAAATAATTAATAATACATTTTGCTTTCATTATTTTGAACATATACTGTAAATAAATCGATAAGGAAGGAAAATGACGACAAACACCTACCATGAAATACTTTTTACTCTGCTTATTTCTTTAGTAGCCCACATTGCTATTTTTCTAACTCTCTTATTCTCGGAATTTAATCCTTCAGTAATCAATCCTTGAATAGTCCCCTTGTCAACATATGGAAGCATTTTAACTCCAAGTACTGTGCACATATCTCTGAAAATATAAAATGACCCTTCATTACCTTGCTATACATAAAGATATTCAAATCATTAAAAAAATGCCATGGAGTCTTGGGCAAAGACATTGCAATGTGTTGTATCTCAGAATTCAGCATTATAAATACTAGCGTACATTGCATGGATTAGACATAAATTCAATAAAGAAGGGGAGAAAATATGTACAAATTTATTAGGGATGTCAAATCGGTCAATTTTTAATACTCGGTTACTCGGACGTTTTTCCGATCGAGTACCCGGGTACTCGGTAAAAGTGTAAATAAATATAAACAAGTAAATTGATGAATGTTAAACATTGTAAGCACTTGTATAAATAAAACCACATACTCTGATAGGAGGTTTACACGTAAATGCATTTCTGTTGTACAATGATGAGAACTTCGTGCCCGACGAAATTTATTACAACATTTTTTATATATTCAATTAATTTATCAGATAAACACAAGAAATAAAATCGTAAGTGGTTCATGGTGTTTTTGTTAAAAAAATAATCTACTCCGTAATTGTAATGTAACGTACTCTTTGTTGCGTTTGACATCCAGGTATCAGTCGTACAGTTTGTCTTGAACTTGATCAATTTCTAACAGAGCCGATTTACGATTTTCGTATACTTTTCGATCCTAGATTTTATAGTATCACGGGACGGTATTTTGTAGTTTGGTGCAACGATGGACATCAGTTTTTTAAAGCCTTTGCCTTCAACTATTTGTACCTGTATTGGCATGTAATTCAACAGTCGCGCATGTAATATCATCTGTCTCTTTTCCCGAGAATTTACGGCTTCTCGGAGAATTGACAAAATTATCTTATTTATTTAATCATAACAAACCTTAAACGATGTTCAGTGAAAACAAATAATTAAAGAAAATCAAAAAATAAGGGTAGAAGACAGCCGAAGGTGAGAAAAGCCATGTAACAGGTGCTTGGTCACGATGATTACTGTATAAACACTGCCACAGGCGATAACGGTCAGGAAACCCTAATTACTGTATGTACAGGTGCAATGAGTTTTAATTAAACGTTTTAAAACAGATTGTTTAATGCATTAATATTTAATAAATAAGCTTAGAAATATTCAGAAATATACATCCGAGTAACCGAGTACCGATTTTAGTATTCGAAACTCGGACGTTCGATCGAGTACCCGGTTAACCGGGTACTCGTTGACATCCCTAAAATTTATTAATTACTAACTACATGATATTTTTAATATCAAACTTTTGTCCATCTTGTTTTGGGCAGCGTCCATTCAAAATCTCTAAGAAGAACTTTGTTTCTTTACATGGCACCTATGCTTTTGTTAGATTTCAACCCTCGTACGGTCTATCAACCATCTGCTGACTCATATAGGCCTATATTTTTTCACTAAATCTACACGAAATAAAGATATACAAACATGAAAAAATTCTCAAAATTTGTAGCTATTTAGACTGGGGTATCCTGACTTACGCAATGAGTCCACAACAGGCTGATACATTTTCCATCGAATGATCCGAATCTAGTGCTACTTTCTCTATGTGGGACATTATTTGGGAAATATACTGCACAAAAATAGAAATGTCTTCTGCTACAAAATGAAAAGTACTAGTAGTCTAGTATACAAATTATGAAGCATCATTTTCTTGTATTTTAAACAAAAATAAAATTTTTGATGAAATATAATCGTTTGAATTCAAGTGATTCATAACAGTTCAGTAAACTCACATTTCCCACTTTCTCTAAAATTCTGCACAATTCCTGTGTAAGCCTCAAGACAACCTTGTCTTATATCATTCAGGTAATCAATCATGTCTAAATCAGTCTGTAAAATTATAAAATCCATTTTCTTCCTCTGTAAACTTAACACTAAAATTTACCTACAGTGTATGTTCTTATAAAAAGTATGTTCCTTAACAGACCATACCTCTTGTTCTCAATCATTTACCATAATGACATGAGTGAATCCTTACCAATCAACAGTTTTAAAAACTTAAAGTCAAGAATTCAATTTTTTTTAAACAAAAATAATTATTACGGTTTGTTTATGGTTTTAATCAGACTTTACCTTACGAGAAGACATACCTTTTCCACCTGTCCTTGGGAGGCAAGTTGTATGATTGACATGACTCTGGCCAGGAATTGCTTGAACTGAGCTGGTCCTATGGCTAATGCAATGTCACCAAACACAGAGAGAACATGAGGTTTCACTGATCTATGCAAGCTGGAACTCTGAAAATTTTGTCACAGTTTATTGAAATACAATCTTTGCTAGCCAAGGGTTTCAAATCCGAAATCTGTAGTGTAGAATTCAGATTGGAAACCCTGAGCTAGCGAAGATGTAGAAGTGCATACATCACATTAAATTGATCACAAAAATAAGAATTAAGTAAAGTAAGCCAGTTACCCATAATTTCTCAAACAATAAAATAATTTCAGCACAATATGGCAACATCATTCTTCCTAGAGCTTGACATAAATTTTTCACTACACCTACAGCAGCGAAACATACCTTAAAATGAAAAAAATTAAAAATATTTATAAAATAAATACTCCAAAACATATTAAATAGTATACTGTTATAATGGTTAGTTTTGTGCATGTATATTTTTAATTTGCAAACTGATGAATAAAATTAAACTTACAGAATATGCTTCGGAATTCTTTAAGCTAGCAATCAATCTTGGTTTAAATGCATCCATATATTGTGCAAAATTTGCTCCTAAAACTACAAACAAAAATTTTAAAAAATGGTTTATTGCAAAAGAAATTTTTCTAAGAGTTTTCAGAATTTTCTGTCTAAACAAGAACATTAACCCCCACTCCCAGTTGTAAAATGAAGCTCATAAATCAAATGGATTGTCGATAGATTTGTTTCAATATGAAAGAAAATTGCAAAAATATGAATGGTTGTGATTATTGCATAGTTTAGAATATATAAATTAATATTAGGTAAAATAGTTTGCAGCGACCAAATTTCGCGATCAAGCTTTTTTGGATCTGTTTTTCAAAGACACAGAGACTTTAAGAACTGCCTCGCGCCGAGAAATATTCGCGATGGCGAGGCTCACGCCAACTTCCCGAAAATTTGTTGCACGCGAATAATAGTTGGTTTACAGAATCCATCTTGGTCCAAAAATTAATATAGTTCTTGTAAAGAAAAACATACATTGAAAACAGAGTGATTTAATTTTCCACTGGAATGAAAACAAAGGTAGTTTTGGACATATTTTGTTGTATAATTCATACAAAAGATTGGTTACAATTTCTTACAACTTAGACAAAGGTAATATTTACTCTGTACCTTCTACTAGTGTGGACACTGTTAGAAGTGCATCATCTTGCACAACTCTAGAGGTTGTACACATGCGCATCAGAACCCCCATCACTTGGTCAGAGATCCGGAGAGCGTCCTGTCGTGTTAATTTCTTAAGAACACTCTGAAAAGAAACCAGTATCATCCATGATTCGTATTTTGAAATAAAAGGTATAATAATTGATCTTTGCACTGCAAAGAAAAATGTTACTAGTGTCTTAGATAACTATGCAATAAAAATAATAAATTACCAGGAGTACCAATTTACCTGTAATGTGTTACAATTTAAGAATTGAAGTTGATGGTACTGGGCACGATCTGTGGGGACTTGAATCTTATTCTGTGTTAAAAAAAGGAAAAGACTTGTGCATTTAACTTTAAATCAAAGTACTGAAAGTACTGTTAGACGGAGGCTTCATGTATGAGAGAACACAAAAGAAATATATATATCATACATAGCTGTAAAGAATATTTTGAAAAATAATGTGTAGTTTTTTTTCAATTCAACATTTTTTTCAAAGGATACTCCAATATTCATGAGGTTTTTGGGATATTATAATTTCATCTTTGTAATGCAAAATGATTAAAGTTCACTGTTATTTAGATGAGATACTTTCAATATTAAACCTTTCAACGTAAGAAACAGTAATTGACTAGGCCTGGTTGACATAAAACTTAGACGGGCTAACTTTTTATCCCAGTCTCACTTAAGGAATATATATTGGAAAAGTGAGACTGAGATCAAAAGTGAGCTTGTCTAATATAAGTTGTATGCCCCCAGGCCCGGTTTGATGAATGTAGGTCTAGTATGTTCTAGTCATGAGCCCACAGAGAGAAAGGGGTGGCCCCCTCCCTTTTGAGTCCAAAAAATACGCAATATTTGATAAATGAGTGTTTTAATTGTGGCTTCCCTGACCTCAAACTGGTCCCCCTTTTTCAGAATTTCTGGATTCATCACTAGGCCTCAGCCAGTCAGGAGTTTCCATATTTCAAGATATCTTATTTATAGGTCACAGAGACCTACTGTTAACATAATTATGACATGTAACAGCTTCCAAAATCAAAATTTTGCCTTATTGTAATAATGTTATGATATGAGCTAACATGGAAAAAGAAGCAGCCAGGTAATTGGACATGAACAACATAATATAGTACAGTTTGTCTTCAACCTTTGTGATACAAAATGGAGTGACCTAGCTTGATGCAACACAGAATTTTCTTTAAGTAATATAACGTCATTAACATGCAATAAATTTTGCCAGAACACAATTTTTTGAGTGGAATAAAATATACTTTCTTACTTAAAGTAAAAAACAAGAAAGTTCATAATACATATTAAAGGTATACTGCTATTTCACAAGTTTAAATTGTTTTTGGAGAACTGTATATTTTTACAATAACAAAGATATATTTTGACAAATTTGACAACCAATATTTCTGGAATTATTAAATGTAGTATTTTATCATATGACAGATTTAACCCAAAAAATGTCTTTCTTTACTTGTATACCAGTATGGTTGTCCTTTTCATTTATCTGTTTAAAACAATCATTAACAAAGACATGATTAAAAATTACGTAGAGAAAAGTAATAAATATATAACTATGATTTCTGCTTTTCAGTAACTCTGTTAAAACAATCACTTTACCAATGATGTAGGTTAACAAAAGTTGACATGAATACCAATGATCAGAAATACATGTAATCTTGTATATAAAAAATAATTAAAGTTTGAGATGTGAAAGAGGTAAAACACAAGTACCAAATGCAAATAAGGATCAAGGATATGACAACTTATTTCAGAAGATATAATTTTTAATTATTAATTAGGATATAATGTGATAAATCATGCAAATCCTATGAACCAAGATTTGGGTTGTACCCAAGGGTCAAAAGTTACAAATGCATTTTGATCTCAATATCAGAGTTGCCGTGTGTTTGTATCTTATATAATGTGAGGGTACCCCAAACACTCAAACCGCTTGTAGAAAGTGTAATTCTATTTTCATGTGTTTCCTGAAATTATACATAATTACAAATAAAGAATTCAAAACTAGACTTTTGATATTCCTACAGAAAAAAATACTATGCATTTGTTTATTCATCGATCCTTGTGAGATTAAAAAACTCCATGAAACCTATTGATGCAAGCGTCAAAAATCGGCCGCAAACCAATTTATCGGCCCTTTCAAGAAGACATTAGAAAAGGAGTGAACATGAGATTACAAACAGCAATCAAGCACAAAAATTCCATTAAAACTGAAATGCTTGATCTATTATTAAAATATCTTATATTTATACATGCAACATAAAACATTTGCATGCGGCATTGCAGGATTTTCTTCAATACATAATACAGGTACATAGTCAACTGCGTTTCCACACTTAGTTTGATACAGGCGAATTCTGGTGGAAGTTTTTACAATTAAATATAAAACTAAAGTTTAAACTTATCTGTAACTAGAGATAGTTTTTACTTTAATAAAAGAAGCAATTGATAAGTGGGGTTCCTCGATCACTCTCCGTGGATGTTAATCCCCCCCCCCCCAAACTCCCTCTAGATCCGCCACTTCATTTCTTCTCGTTCTTGTTTTGGTGTGAGAACCGGAAGGAAAAGGCTCGGCATATTGTAAAACATGCTTTATCATCGTCTGTTGAACAAAATCTATAATATTTGTCTGATAAAAAATTAATAGTAAATCACATTTTTTTTTTTTACATATTCCGTAGGAAATGTATTTATATACACGTCATTTTAAAAATATTAGACAAATCCTGTTTATTTAGAAAAAGTAGAACTGTTTTTTTTATACTTGTATGTGACGCGATCTTTGTTTTAGACAATGCCTATCCTTGTAATGTGTTACAAGTCGCTCTAAAAATGAATTCTGAAGGTAATGAAAACAATTCCACCGATAGATGGTGCTTGGGAAATCTTTCCTGTTTACAATGGGAGACAATCCCTATACCCGGAGGCTGTTAACTTTAAAAAAACGGGAATAAGGAGAATAGCAAATATAAACTAAACTGAAAAAGTGATCGAGTTTGCATAAAGATTATACAGTTCTCTGAAAATAAGTTTCAAATGACACTTTCAGCCTTTTGAAGCAGGTTAGACGGTTTTATAAGGCATAAACGGTCAGCTTTAAAAAAAAAAGAAGGATTTACCTCCATAAGCAGGAGACTTTGTAATTTTTCTAAAACAATTGTGGCAGTTTTGGGGACAATACCATAACAGTCCTGTAGTAAGAATACCAAAATTAACGTAAGAAACAATACAAAGATACACACGAAACTGAAAAAGCACAAAGAAGTTTAATAATGCATGTATTTAACTAACCTTAGGACTGTTTTTAATCATTTTCATTAATGCCTCATATGCTGCATTTCTTAAATTATATTGGTTTCCATCAGACCTAAATAAGCAAAAAGGTATATACATTATAAAGTTTTTGATTAAAATGTTCCCTTCATGCAACTACATTTAAACAAGTTATATTTTGTGGAAATTTACGAACAATAAGTTATGGATAAGGTAAAGATAATATACATAACTGGGTGTAAAGATATTCCCCGAGGGCTTAATTTCCTGTCAAGTAACAACCAGTGGATAAGCGTTTTATTATAAAAAAAACTGAAATTCTGATGACGTCACAATGCTAAGTCATTATGACATCATAGTTTGAAGAAAATCGCTAGAAATCAAAAATTGACGGCAAAAATTGCATGAAAATTTTCCGAGGGTGGATAGCAAAACTATACCCTGGGGTATAGCTTTGCTTTGCGTGAACTATAAAGGATAGTTATTTTACCTTCTGAACTTTATACAGGAAACATTTTAACAGAAGTATAATAATAACAGTAACCAATCTAAAAAAAAACATAAACGCTAAAAATCGGTGAATATGGCATCCATCAGGCCCCTGGATATATCAGAGAAGGGATCAGGAATAACTGTCTAGTTCATTGGTTTTATGATATGATCAATCAGTTTGCTCCAGAAGGGCGTTTGTGCGTCAAACCAAAAAGCAAGACAGTTTTGCCTAATACTTACATTTAAACTTGATCCTTGATTTAATTTTAAAAAATATTCAATAATAAGAAATTTAAGCTTCTGATGTATTACTGAGCAACACCTAGCGAGAAGGGCACATGCAGTTCTATCACATGCTTAGCAAATCGCTTTATGAAGTTATACTGCTATTTTAGTTTTATCTCAAGGACATTGAAAAATGTAAATATTACTACATAAAGAAGGAAAGTTGTTGATAAAAAAAAAACAAACAGAATTCTCACTTTGTTATACATTGTAGCTGTTAGTCTAATGTCAGTTAAATCATCCAAAGATGAAACAAATGTGGCATGAACTAATTTGTCACATTCTGTAAATAATTGGAGGAAATTGAGCTATAACAATGGCACCGTGAAGTAGAGCATCACCTTGCGTAGAGACATTTCGCAATGTATTGGAGTAGTGAAAGCTGCTTTCTAGCACTAAAAAGAATACACCACAAAATATAATAAAATTACCTGTCAGTGGCATGAATGAGTTTTTCTACAATGGTTGCATATGAATTGGATAAACAGTTTGTGGGTGGCACGTCTTCTACACTAACACTAATGTTCGCAGCCTTTGCTAAACTGGAGATAGTCTACAAATTACAATCAAAAATATATCGGTCATTCTTGAAAGGTGAAAAACATTTTACTTTCCTCTTATTTCCCATATATAATGAAATACGTTTCTATGTTATGGTAATACTGTGAATCTGTTATTTTCGAGGGGGTTTAATTTTCATTGTTTTCAAGGTATATTTGCAGAAATCCAAGAATTCATGTCCACCAATGAAATGTAAAATTTAATAAGCATTGCTGCTCAACAATCTCCAACCCCGAAATCGAAACCTTTATATCGATAATTTTTTTTTCAAACCTCGAAAATTTGAACCCACGAAAATATATAGAGAATAATATATATACCCTTTTCCATATCACATCCTGTATCAGCCCGAGACATCAATATCAGCCAGAGGGCCGAAGGCCCCCGAGGGCTGATACAGGATGTGATGTGGAAAAGGGTATGTTTTATTATATTTATTACATACTTAGTAATAAAATACAGAACACATTAAGTTGAGAAGAAAATAAGTAAATAATCATGCACGGACTTCTTAAAATGTACACAGTCTATTGTCTCATACAGTTTCGGTTTGTTTCTGCATGTACTTCTATTTCAGATGTCCTCAATCCGTAATTTTAAAATAATCTATCATTTATCAGTTAGATTATCATTACATTCAAAAAGTTAAAATTAAGAGAATTATGTAACCCCCAAATATGATCACAAGTACTGTTTTTTGAGGTTTAATTTACTAGGGGTGTGATATTGATCCGTATCAGCCCTGCAGGGCTGATAACCTATATCAGCCCCGCAAATCCATATCGGCCCTGCAGAGCTGAAGCGACTATTGTGACGTCAGCCATATCGCATATGCAAAAATCCTGTATTTATTACTAAGTATGTAATAAATGATTTTACAGTATTTTAGAAATATACAGCTGTTGTTACTACATTAGACTTGGAAACGCACCCAACATATCTGACTTGCAACTCTTGGTTCAGCAACAAGGCCTTTTAACAAGGAAGAAATAAGACTTGGTAAAACCTGATGTCCAGGGATAACGGCCTTTGGAATAGTTTCACAGATCCGCCTCAAAGTTTGGGCTGTTGTGACTCTCACCGCCACACTGAGATCATTCAACAACTGAATAAGCATAGGGATGACTTGTCCTACTGTTGGCTGAAGCAAATCAGGATCTGGACCCTCCAATATTGAATCTGAAATACACATAGTTCAACATTGATCTAAATACAGAGCTTTGAAAGAAGTTTTAAAATCAAAACAGAAATTGGAAAACTGAAATTTATTTAAATCACTATGGAAAATAACTATATTTATTACAACAGACATTCAATATTTATCTGTATTACATTTATCTAAAAAATTAAGGGTATGTTTCTCTTTTAATTTTGAAATTCAAACAGGAAAGCTTTGACTAAAAAAAAACCCAACAAAAGTCAACAAACCCAGAGCCATAACAGCTGCCACTCGAAGTCCCCAGTTTCCACTGTTGATGTTTCCCAGGACGAACGGTGAGATGAAGGGGACAATGTCATCTTTGAGCTCAGTTGCTATTAACATCAGACAGAATACAGCAGCCTTGCTAATGCTCCATTTATCATTGTTAACATTATCCTTTTAAAAATATCAACATATTAAGGGCACCTGTTATTTATAATACAGTAATAAGATTCTTATTTATACCCGTTATAAAGAGTACCTAACATTCATACGAAATTGAATTCTTCGTATCATTTTATTAAATGAAGAGGAAACATCAATTACTCAATGATTTACGATTACAGGGGTGGGATCAAGTGCCTTGAAAGAGTAAACATCCCTTGTTGACAGTTAACAAACTCCACTGTAAGCCTTATATCATTTTCTGACCTTACTTGAAAAAATGGTTTTCTTCCTTTTTAGGAAAAACTTTTGGCTCCATGTGTCTGAAAGTCCTTTAAGGGTTATTAAAATATTTTCTGATCTTTTTCAGATTAAATCAATGTTTTCTATCTTCAAATTGCTTTAAGAATAAGCTCACAGCTGTATCAAAAAGGCATTGAGAATCCAACAAAACCCTGAAGAAGTACTGAGCAGTACTGAGAAAACCATGAAATGCACTGAGGCTGCTACTGAGGTAACTACAACAGTCCTGATTAACACTGAGGTTTTCACTGTGCTTACTAATGCAATACTAAGAGGCACTGAGATTGACTACTGAGGGATACTGAGGTGGTTCTGAGGACATTGAGCTAATACTGAGTAGCCCTGAGGTTTAAAACTGGGAATAATGAGTTAATCTTCGGTGATCCTGGGGTTCTTTGTTTCAAAAATCAATATTTTCATCTGTTCTTGTATCCTTGTACTCAGATTTCTTTCTTTGTAACTTTAATCAAAATGCACATTTACAATTCTCTTGAAAATAAATATCAACGATTCAACAAAAATGTCTGTTATTGAATAAAATAAATCATTTATACATTTTGTGATTCTGTGTTCAATACAAAGTATTTAAAAAATGATATCTGATTATAGTAATCTTTGATGCTAAATGATTATTCAATGATTTATCAAACATGTTCTTTAATTTGTAATTTCATTTATAAATATATTTTGAACATTATACACATGAACAAAATCTCTAGTGACGAACTGAATATGTAAATACTTTACCTGCTTTGCCAATGTTTGTAACAAAATTGGACATAAATACATGGAAGCTCCCTTAATGTAGAACCGACTGTCCGAGGGCCTTCCTTGCTCAGATGTCTGACCAAAAGAAAAATAGACATGGCCTTAGCAGAGAAGAATTGCTTTAGATTTATATGCATATAATATCTGATTCACTTACTTTAGAAATAAAAACTCCACTTATAGAATAATTGTAAACCTAATATACATACAGTCCTAAGTAGTCTATCTAGGAAAGCTCATTGTAAAATGTTTTTTAATTGCAACAGAGTTTGTATTATATAGAGACCTCTGATAATTTAGTGGCAAGGGCTATTTCTTTTTCACAAACTGTAGACCAAAATTCAATTCCCTGGAGAGCTATTTCATCTACATCGCTCTTCATGGCTTCCATTGTTATCTGTAAACCAACAAAGAGGGTGAAGTGTTATTAATTTCAATTTTCTAAATAAATATACTAGTAGTACTCAGTCTGATGTTTCTATGAAAAAATAGAAAAAAAAATGTTTCTATGAAGAAAATAGAAAAAAAAGTTTATTTACAGAAGTGAGTGCTAGACCCATGTATGAATGCATGTGGGTATAATATAAGGACACAATCTTCACCAAACATTGAAAAGCAGCTACCTTCACCTGTAAAAGAGAGAAAAATTTAGTTCCTTTTTTTTTCAGAGAAAAATGAAATCTTAAATTTGATTTCATCGGTCTCGGCGTAAATAACACAACAATTTAAATGAAAAAAAGAAGATAAAAAATCAATATTCAGGCACAAAAGTCCATTGAAACAATAGCAATACATAGTGCAAACACGGTCCTATAAAAACATCAAAGGTGGGGTCAGGTGCCATGACGAAGAAAGCATTCCATGTCGACTCTATATGATTTAAAAAAAGTAAGATATTATTTTAAAAAAATTTATCATTACCTTTGTGTCTGATGATTTGGTTGCTTCGCACACAACTTGCATGATGAAATGTCTCTCTGTCTAAAAAAAAAGAAAGTTTTTCATTCGTTTTCCAATAAGTAGAGGATTAAAAAGATGCCACCAAAGGTTCAAAATTCTTAACCATGACATATCAAAATAAATTTCTGTCAATGAAATATGTACTGGAATCTTTATGTTGGAACTAACTTTAGCAAACACATTTTTACAGGCGCTATCTATATGATGGCCTGAGTATTTATAAACATTGAGAGCTAAAGGAATTACCTCTTTGTCAAAATTGGCTTTTAAATGTTCTAAGGAACTGCACAATGCATTAGAAGCTGCAATTCTTACACGGTTACTGAAAATAAAGTATTAAAAATCATTAGAAGAACTATTTATGATGATTATTGTCTATACATATATTGGAAGTATAGCTGTTTAAAAGAAAAAAAAAAGTCTTTAAAATTAGTACGTGGTTTTTAGCATAGAGATTGATTGATTGTATGTTGTTTTTAAAACATTCCTCTCGCTTATATTTTACTCATATGTGGAGACACCACCACTTGGTGATGTATAGAGCTCTGGGGCATTGAGCATTTGGGAACCACTGCGCCAAGCGGGCGACTTTAACATGTTACCTGGGTTGTTCTTTTCTCATTCCATGAAGAATTGCTGCAAGAAGTTCATTGACTTTGCTTTGCAGAACAGCTTGATCCTAAAATAACGTTAGCAAATATTTAACCAGATAAAGAATATACATGATGCCATCAGGCCCTAAGGCTTTCACTGAAAGTGGGGGATATTAATTTGGGTCTATCTGTCCGCCCGTCTGTCCATCCGTCCGTATTTCTGTCTGTCTGTAACTCTTTTGTTAACGCGCATTATCTCGAGAACCCTTCAAGCTTTCGCAATGAAATTTTGCGTAGCAACTCCCTATAACCTACAGAAGAATCCTATTGATTTCCAGGTCAAAGAGGCAAGGGTCAAGGTAATAAATTATTGAATTCTCTCTGTTTAAACACTTTCGTTCTCGTGCGATATCTCGAGAACCCTTTGAGCTTTTACAATGAAATTTTACATAACCCCTCTACTGATTTTGAGCTTTTGCAATAAAATTTTTGTACCAAAACTCCCTAGGGCCTCTCTCACCCCTCTCAAAGTGTCCCACCCTGTGTGTTTTATTAGTATTTATATTTTATTTAATGTTGCTTGGCACTATTTTAGCACCTGACAGGGGTAAGTGAGGCCCTAGGGAGTCTTGCTATAAAGTTCAATTGCAAAAGCTCAAAATCTTCTTGAGATATCGCCCGGAAACGAGTGTTACACAGATAGAATGTATAGATTTACTACCTTGAATTTTGAGGTCCTCCTTAGACCACAGAGAGTTGTTATGTAAAATTTCACTGCAAATGCTGAAAGAATTCTCGAGATATCAACCGAGAACGAAATTGTTAAAACAGACAAAATCTATGACCTTGACCTTTTCACCTCAAAATCAATAGGTTCTTCTTTAGGCTATAAGGAGTTGCTATGCAAAATTTCATTGCGAAAGCTCAAAGGGTTCTTGAGATATCGCACGTAAACGAAAGCGTTATAGACAGACAGAAATAGACCCAAATTATTATCCCCCACTTTCAGTGAAAGCGGGGGACAAAAATCATCTTGAAATCGGACACACTACCTCTCTGTATATTACATTTATAGTGGTAATGATTGTTATTAGAATTTGCATCTGCCTGGGGTATCATCTGTTCTATAATCTTAAAGATATTTCATAATTTTGGAGTATAATGAAATAGCAGTCCTATTTTCATGAAATTTCTATGTCGACTAAATGAAACTCTCCCCCTCTCCCAGTAACTACATCACATACACACCGACTTTATTTTTCTCTTCTGGATCTACTTTTTTTAGAAAAGTCTACTCACGCCTTCTCCATAACTTCAGTATTTACTTAATAGAATGACTTGGAATTGAAACCTCTATAATTGATTGGTCCAATAGCCAACCGATTGACACCCAATTCAGAAAGATCCCGTAGTGTTACACCAGAGGCGATTTAGTGAACACCAAATCTTCGGTAGAAGTAGTACATATTTCAAATCATTTATGGCCAGAAACATGCACGTCAACGATAAGAGAAATTTGAATCATTTAGTATTTTTATACTCATTGTCATATCATATAATTAAATTACAGTAAAATAAAATTAAAATTTGCAACCTATTCGTGAATAATCATGTACGTTATATCATGTACCAAGTCTTTTTAATTACCAATAAAAGTTGCAAAACAATTTTAAACTATGTATATACACAATGTCTCAATAATTTTCGAACAGCCTTCGTACATACAAATACTTACAGTGTTAAGTAGGAATGGGAAACGCCTATGGCACTTTTAGTGGATCAATAGCTCTATTCTACGAGTAAACGTTTTGTATGCGTTGGCGTTGCAAATTTCAATGGTTTATTTCTTGATTAGAAATAAACAAATATGTTTCTTTGGAAAATTAATTTTTCAAGAATGTTCAAAATCATAATTAGAAATTATTGTTTGTAATTTAGTTTGAATCTAACTAACCAGTACCGCAAATTTTGGCGATAATTGTAATGCCTGACTTAAAACACTATTACTTTTAATAATGCTTCCGTATATAAAGTTTTCTACGACAAATACGTGGTGAAATGTTGTAAAGCAGAAAAAAGAAAAAAAAGAAAGAGAAGGTAAAAAAGAGGAAGAGAGTGGTGTGAGAGAAAATTTGCTGGGGGAGGGAGACATAGGTTAGGGAAAAAACGGAAGAGAAACTTTTCCCTTTCTTTTTACCTGCCCTATTCCTGTGCCTTCTCGACTCCCTGGTTGGCGTGGGGAGACTCGACTCCTTACCCTTGGTTGGAGTGGGAAGATTCGACTCCCTACTCCTGGAGAGAAGAGGGTGGGAGAGAGAGGAATGAGAATGAGAGAGAGAATAGTGAGTGGGGAGAGTGAGGGGAGAGAGAGGAGTGAGGGGAGAGTGAGTGAGAGAGTGAGGAGTGAGGGGAGAGAGAGAGAGGGAGTCAGTGAGAGGAGAGAAAGAGAAGCGAGAGAGTGAGAGGAGAGAGAGTGACGGGAGAGAGAGAGTGGGGAGAGAGTGAGGAAAGAGAGGAAAGAGAGTGAGGGGAGAGAGAGGAGTGACGGGAGAGAGAGAGTGAGGAAAGAGAGGAAAGAGAGTGAGGGGAGTGAGTGAGGGGAAAGAGGGAGAGAGAAGAGAGAGAGAGAGTGGAGAGATGGAAGAGAGAGAGGGGGATAGAAAGTGGGGAGAGGGTAACGAGGGTAGAGAGAAGAGAGAAAGACAGTAATTGGGGATAAGGGAGGGTGGGTTAGAAGAGAGAGAGAATTGGAAGGGAGGAGATAGAGAGTTGGTAGACAGAAAGTGGGAGTGAAGAGACGGGAGAATGACAGAGTGCAAAGGAGAGAGAGAGGGAGTCTAAGGTGGGAGAGAGACAATGGGAAGATGATGTATATATAAAAATGGTAAAATTAATACGTCTTTAAAAAACCAAAAACAAAAATCTGTCATAGGGATGGCGTAGGGGTTAAAGGGGAGATCCAAACACAAAAACAGTTTATCATACACCACCAGACTCTATACAGAATTAAAGAGGCTGGGGGTGGCAGCCATTTTCAGACTATTTTGATCTCCTTTAAAAGAAGAGCTCCATATAAAGATATACAAAACTGATCAAATTTTAAAACTAAAATGTATGAATTTTTTCTTTGCCAAATGATAGTTGACAGCTTAAGATGCTGTATCTAAAAAATAAGTTAAATCTGGTGGTTAATTTGTAGTCAATTGGTTGACCACCAGCCTCCTTAAGAGTTTGAACTTATTTGTCTTTTTCCCTGGAGTTGAAGAGTTCAGTTCAAAGGTTTATTCCCCGAATGGCTACTCGGAAAAAACAACAAGTAATTATCACACTCAATTAAGGGGCCCTCTAAGGGGTTCAGGTAGACTTACCTGTATGAATAATCTACCGGAATATAATTAGAAATAAAATGGATTTTTAATTCATTATTTTTATTTGTGCACTAGTATATATATTGTATACATATTTTTTTTAAATAAATAATTTTACAAGCACAAAACATATTAAAAACTATAAATTACTGATTTTCACATTATAAATTTACAATTTTATGATATGATTTAGAAAAATGTCTTAATAATCAAAAATGATAAATAAATGAATTAAAATAGACAAAACTTTATAGAAAAACTTAATTTATCATACAAAAATATCTATATTATTTCAAGAAAAAAATCAATTTTGTTAATTTATTTAAGAGTTAATTTGAAAATGTAATACAAAAGGTGATAATAATTTGTAAATTCTCTATAAATACAATGTACTATTGAATAGTTTGGAAGAAATAAAAATTAAAGGTACAATAAAAATTCTATTTTTCTTACATCTTAATTTTATCTATTTATATTTATTTTTATTTTTTTTTTCTATTTATATTTTCTATTTATTCAGTATATTTCGGAAAATAAAAAAAACTTTTAATTAAAATGAAATTGAATGAATATATCTGATTTATAAAATATTGCTTATCCAGGTAAACACAGGTAAATCTTCCTGTACCCCTTAGAGGGCCCCTTAATTGAGTGTGATAATTACTTGTTGTTTTTTCCGAGTAGCCATTCGGGGAACACACCAGTTCAAATACAATGTACTTAAGTAAAGCCTGGAACTGTGTGCTACATTTAAATGTCTATTTACACTGTTGACTTTGAGGTCAAAAGATCAAAGGCCAGGTAATAAATGAAAAAAAAAATCCTTCTGTTTTAACCACAGGTACTTGTGGACAGGAACCCCCCCCCCTTCCGATAAATTATCAACCCCGGGGCTTGTTTGATATTTCTTACAAATTATTATTTTTCTTTTTACAAATTATATGTATTACACTTATTCATTAGGATACCACAGGAAAAATCGTGGAAAACTGGAAAATAATCGTTCTATAAAAAATACCCAACTATACATCTCCAATAATGTATAATAGGGTATTTTTATGGAACGATTATTTTTCAGTATTTTCCTTCAGTGGGTGACACAAATTCTCTGAATTAGCTTGTTTAATTGTTTTCCTAGTTGGACCAGACCAAAATATTAGGTTATCTACTGACTACAATTTTTACAAAATTTATGAATGGGACGAAGTTCAAGAATTTGCTGTGGACGAATTTATGTTACAACGAACTTGTTTTTCTCTTTTAAACAACGAGGTTTGAATCCAGTGAAAATTAATGACACCAGAAAAAGAAAACAATGGGTAGAACATGCACTAAAATAATTAAACGAACGAACAAACAAATTAAATCAGAATATTAATACATGCAGTGGTGAAACACTTGTCAGATTATTTGAAAAAGGACTTTTTGACAAAGTACTAAATCTTACAATATCTTGGCAAATGTAGCCAATGGCTTGTACAGAAGCTTCTTTTATTTCCTCGGATGTTTGTGGGTTGGTGGCATTGTTGACCAATAAAGGTATCAAGTCTGGCCACAGACCCGCGGGAAGCTCGGCACATGCGATATAGGCTACACATTGGGCTGCTGTGCTTTGACTGGTTGCTTCTGTTCCCAGTGAAGCCAAAACCTATAATTAAAAAAATATCTTGGAACGAGATCATTCAGCATTCGGTAAACGTACAAACACACCAGTAAAAGAGAGAGAGAGAGAGAGAGAATTATTATTTATTAAAATTGAAAACTGTATGCAAACATTTTTAAGCTCACAATTGTTTTAATTCTTTTTCTGATTTCCTCCAGAATTGAAAGCCATTTTTGTTGGTACCCTGTCTTGATGCCAGGATCTTTTATGTACAGGGAATTTTTCAATTGTAGCCCAGCCTGAGTCCGTGCAACGTTGCTTTTGGCGACATTGTTCAATATCCTTGACAAGGATGTCAGAAGACCGTGCTGAAATGGGAAAAAAAACAAGCAAATGCAAGGAATTGTGGTTCCCCGCTTTCGGTGTCTTTGTAGGTGAATGTCATTTTTTATGACATATTGTGTGTAATATGAACATCCTATCATATGTCATTTATTTCGAAATCATCACTGAACGTCAAGGTCAAAGGGTTAAAGTTCTTGGTATCCAATGAAAAGTCTTCTCACAATGATTACATGTGCGAAGTATGAACGCCCTAGCCCTTACCATTCAAAATTTATGGTCAAGGTTAAAGTTTTTTATAAGTACGAAAAATCTCCAAGGTCAAGGTCAAAAGGTCAAGGTTGTTGATATCAAGTGAAAGGTCTTGTCTTGCCACAAAGAATATATATGTGAAATATGAAAGTACTAGTATCTACTGTTCAAAAGTTGTGGCCAAGGTCAAAGTTTTTGAAGAGTAGGTCAAACTCCAAGGTCAAGGTCAAACGCTCAAAGTTCTTGGTATCCAATGAAAGGTCTTCTCAAAAGAATTACATATATGAAGTATGAAAGCCCTAGCACTTAACTTCCAAAAGTTATAGTAAAGGTTAAAGTTTTTTCATAAGTACGGAAATCTCCAAGGTCAAAAGGTCAAAGTTGTTGGTATCAAATGACAGGTTTTGTCACAAAGAATATATATGTGAAATATGAAAGTCCTAGTTTCCATCATTCAAACGTTATGGCCAAAGTAAAAGTTTGGAATTTTTGTGTAAAAGTGGGTCATACTCCAAGGTCAAAGTCAAAAGGTCAAATTTGGTGGTACCCCAAAAAAGTTCTTATCACAAGGAATCCACATATGAAATATGAAAGTCATAGCTCCACTTAATCAAAAGTTATGGGCAAGGTTAAAGTTTTTGTGACGGACGGACAGACTGACAGACAGAGAGACGGACAGACGAATGAGATTTAATGTCCCCTCGCTTTTGCAAAAGCGGGGGACAATAATTGTGGAAGATTGTATTAAAATCTGTAAAATTCGACCCTAACACTACAGCTTTACTATATTCGTTGTTATTATTTGCAATTTCATGTTTTTTTTTTCATGGTAAATGTAAATAACTAACATATATTTATATTTTTATATGCAGCATGATACAAGATGGCATACTGCTCCTATACGTTGCTAAGCATGGTGCTCAAAAATACCGTTTATATGTACTGTAGTGATGTCTAATGTTCTACTGTCAATTGGTTCCTTTACCAGGATTTTCAAGTTAAGTGAATGAATTTGCTGCGAAATCATAAAGTATTGAAAATGCATATAGTTCCTACTGTGTATTCTAACGCGCGGTGACAAGATTTCGCGTGTGTTATAGAGATTTGAACGTCATGGATTTCTAATGGATTTCATACAGAAAACCACACTGAATGTAAATATTTTCTGTTTCATAGAAATTCCATGCAGCAAGAATACACAAATCGTTTCTCTCATATGACCTCATAAATGCTTATTGTGTCGTCATTAACATGCATTTTCCCGTATTTTCTTTAAAAGTTGCAGAAGACATAAATTTTCAGTGATATTTTCTTTCAGAAAACATACTCTGCCACCGTCACCCACAAAGATTTTGAGATATGTGATTTTTCAAAGCAGTTTACATAATATATCCAAAAATAAAAGTGGGCGACGGTGGCAGACACTATATCCTGAAGGAAAATAAGTACATAAATGAGTGATTCTGAGGCTTTTCTGCATTAAACTTAAAAATGCACCAAATTAATGACGTCATATTTCCAGAACGGTCCTTCTTCATGCCATATTCTTTCATGATTTATCATGTTCATCAAATCAACCATTGTTAAAGCCAATTTTATATATTTTTAAGAACATTAAATTTTTAGGGCACATTAAAGCCCAAACTGTACCTTCTTATTCGGAAACAATAACTAAGTTGTTTTCACCGATACTTAGGAAACAGCTTCGTAAAAGATACAAAAGAAATACTCGGGTTGAAGTTATTCAACAAGAACGAAACAATTTCTCATTTAAATAATTTTCTAAAAATAAATTCAAAGTACACAAACCTGAAGTGAGGAATACTAGTACATGTACTCGTAGTAAGAGTTTTCCGTTCAAATGTTACTTGCAAATTGAATTGATGTATATTTAAAAAAAAAAAAAAGACTCTCCTAAAAAACAAGAAAAGTACGTAAGGGTTGCCCGCAACCCTGTGTCTCGCCTGCTGTCGCTGTGGTTAGTAAGAAATGATTGTCTGATAAACTGAAGCATTTATTGACATTTCAGAAGGAATAACTCAAAAAGTGGATCGAGTCATTTTGCTGGTTTTTAAAGAGATATTGTCATGGACTTAATAAGAACTGTAAAACGTTTCTATCTGGACTGACTATAGGTATATTTTATATGGATTTAATATATAACTTTTGCATACTGATGAACACAACATTTTCCTCTTAGTCAATGAAAAGATGCTGAAATGATTTTAATGAATTACATACATTGTAACATGTCAAGAAAGTTTTAAAATGTTGAAGTTATATTTACTTGATTAATATCTGGAGTCATGTGTAATGCACTGCATATGCCAACTGGTAAACAGAAAAGTAGGTAGGATCCAAATGCATCATGTAGGTTAAATATCTTCTGTACAGTTTAAAATTTCCATATTTCATATTATTCACAAGAGTAGGTAGGATCCAAATGCATCATGTAGGTTAAATATCTTCTGTACAGTTTAAAATTTCCATATTTCATATTATTGACAAGAGATAGATTGTTTTTTGTCCACTTTAAGTTTCTCCGAATAACTGCTGGAAATACTATGTACACTTTAAAAACACTGTATCATATGTTTGTGTTAGTAGTTCATAGCAAACCACAATGGTTTGTGGTAGCTATAGTAGGACTCTAGGGTGCCCGACATCATCTGGTCTGACGGAATGTTTGTAAATATAAGATCTATCTTTGTGTTCCCATTAGTTGTAACATCTTTTATAACTTGAGTATATCCTTTTGCATTCATAAGATGAAGGATTTCTCTATATTTCTGGGAGGATGACTGCATGTCAGCATTAAAGTCCCCTATAATCACATGCAGCTGTTGCTGTTCAAGAAGTGTTTCCAGAGCGGCTATTATATTGTATACGTCTTCTTTTGGACGGCAATAAACTGATGCCAAGTTGACATGTGTAGGCTGGGTAACACGTACAACAGTTATTTCTATATTGTGGTTGTTTCTTTTCAAAACCTCAGCTTTTAGATTGTGTTTGACGTATATACAACTTCCATATGCTGACCTGTTATGTTGGAAATCACTCCGGATTATCTCAAAGTTAGGAATTGTATAAGTGGCATCTTCATCAGTGTAACCTAACTTAGTCTCAACAAGACAACAAAGATCAGCGGCAAGTACAGAGTCATCAGCTTTTAAATCCTGGTAATGTAGACGCAGTGATTGGCAGTTATGGAAATAAACTATCATCTTTGGTTGGTGTATGGAGTACAGAGGAGTGGAATTCAGTGCTAGCTGTGAAAATTTTCTCAGTCTTTCCATTTCTGCTACAACTGCTTTTGAGATGGTGATTTTGGATGGATCAAGTTTCCCAATAATATGAATATTTTCCAGTTTTGTGACTCTACTAAATGCGACATAATGAAGGTGTGCACGTTTCTGTGATGGCAGTTGAATTACAGCAGACTCCATTGTATCTCCTTGTGATCGATGGACGGTTTTTGCTGCTGCCATTTGTAAAGGGTACTGTAGTCGGCTGACTTTGGCATTCTTGTAACGTCCTACAGTGAATTCCCTTGTTACTGGTTTAATTGGTACCCAGTTTTGTCTGATGTTTCTCCGATACAAATTTTTACTGGCTTGCCTCAGCTTTTTACCACAGTGGTCATCGTCAAACTGCACCCAAATTATTCCCTTTTGAATTGATTTTGTTGTGCAAGAGGCACCATTTACTAACCCATCTTCAACATCAAGGTTTATTGTTAATTCATTACGCAATGAAACAGCAGTTTTGAATACTTTAGCGAGTCCCATAGCATCACCAGCCTTTGTAGGTGCTCTGGCAAGGATGTCTAGTTTAATGTTGTCTGGTACATCACCTATGACGGTATCTGAAGCAGTACTGGTAATTTTGGTTGTATTGGCAAGTTCAAACATCCTAGTGTTGTAGTCATTGACATCCTGATTGTGGTATAAAATATGTGTTGAGTAGTAAGGATAGTTTTGGTCTGTCAAGTTGATGATTCTGTTTTGTAATATCTCTACATCATTTTCTGTCTGTTTTCCTTCACGCATCCTGTTTAGTAATTTAGCAAAAGCTTGGTCATCTTTTTGTCTCATAATGTCGGTTAATTCAAAAATTCTAAAGTTATCTATCCAAATATTTGGTGCTAACAATCCATAATCCTTATCGTTGTGTTGAAAAACCCATCCATCCATCACTGGTTGAAGTTGAAAAAGGTCTCCCACAGCCAACACACTGACTCCTCCAAATGGTTTGTTCAATTGCATAACATCTTGAAGTCTGAGGTTGATGAAATTCAACATTTTACATCCTAGCATCGAGATTTCATCTATAATTAGTACACGGAGTTGTCCTAGATCCTTACGTAAGCTGTTCAGTTTGTCTGAAGTAAGTGATTTGTATGTCAAACTTTGGTTCACTGGAATTTTGAATGCAGAATGAACAGTATTGCCTCTGATGAGATATGCAGCCTTTCCAGTAGGAGCAGCAAGTAAGATGTGCTTACTTTCTGGATTTTCTCCTTGGCCAGATGAAAACCACCGCTGAAGTGCCTGATTTATTCCCAGGGTGACTTTGGTCTTTCCTACACCAGCACCTCCACTAAGGAAAATGAAGAATTGTCCACTAGATGTTTTTACTGATTTGAGAATATGGTAGAAGATTTCCCTCTGTTTTCTATTAAACGACTGCACCAGTTTTCTATAATTTTCATCTGACATTCTGTTAACAAGAAGTTCATCACTTGCATCAGTACCAGCAACTGCATTTACATCAG